TGGAAGCGTCAATCCAAGCTTCCGCAACAGAGCATCGTGAGAAGGCCACTACTGACCAGCACTTAACTTCTGTATTTATCAGTAGGAGCTTAAGAGCTGATGACAAATGTCTTCTGTGGCTTCAGCACAAGTCTGATGCGGAATGTGAACTGGTGTTTGTCGAGCTGCTAGTCGCATCATTGTTACGATATGATGTGTAGACCAGAGATTCCCAAACTGTGTGCCGCTGTGCCTCGTAGAGCCACCGCCTCTTTACAGAAGCGCCGCGAAATATTGTAAAAGCTTCAATTTGAGAAAACATGCAGTGATTTGCAGGCTCATCCATCACATTAATAATTCAATATTAATTTAATGTTGATAAAGTAAAAAAAATAATGAAGATGCACGAGTTTTATTTAGGGTATCTCTTACTTACGAATAGTCATGCTTAGGGTAGGGCACCATGAAAAGATTTTAATTGAAAAAGGGCGCCGCGACTAGGAAAAGTTTAGGAACCACTGGTGTAGACCTTAGAAAATGACATGGTCAGCTGTTGCTGTTGCGGTTGAAGAGAACTTGAGCAATCACATTCCAGATTTTCCCATAACTCGGCCATCCACTCTCTAATCCGAGTAGACGATTCAAGATGACTAAGTTCTTATGTAGGATGTGCTGACAATCTCGCTGTCTATTCACATCGAAAGAGTATATTTTAAATGCTGAAATCTGTGATCGTCTTCATCTTCATCAGGCTGGTATTAAGACGGAATAGAGTGGAGAGGAAAGCGCCCAAACCAGCATCGTTGCACATGTCAAATTCGTCCTGCCTAGCGACCATGTTGTTGTCTGAGTATCTACAGATGACCCCTCTTGCTAAAGAACCGAATGATCTAACATAAGTCAATAACGCCTCTCTGCGTTGGGTTTCTTCACGAGCATCCATCACACGGTGTCTATTCTGCGTGGCTGCACATCAACACCAATCCGTTGCCTCCTCTACTATCATACACCTACGTCACTAACACGCATACAAATTGCAATTGTGCTTCTACCCCAAACAGGTGGTTTTACCATCCTCTATCCTTTTAATCGGTGTCAGGACAGGTCCTAGAGTGGAGTTCGTCACATGGATTGGATACTTTCAATAAAGGTTCCAGTCACCCTGATTGGCATACAATGCTGGAGGCAAGGAAGTCGAATTTGCCCACAATCGCTTGAAGTGTGAACGCATATGAAATTTCGTTTAAAGGTGATACATGACTGGTGGTTGAATTTTCACACAACGATATGAGTAGAGCTGACGTTTTCATTCAATTTCGCATAGTCCTGCTTATCCCAAAGTCGTTCTCATCCAGGCTGAGATGGACTGCAGCTTCGACCTCACCTCGGTCTTATCAACACGCCCAGCGAGACTTTAACCATGGACTGAGTAATGTGGCCGATTGATGCTTCGTCTGTAAGTGAGCTTCTTCGACAGTCCGACTAGAGAAAGTGTCCAATTCACTGGAAACGTCATGTCTACTCATTAGATTGTGGAAACATTTAGCCACCAGTTCTTCATCACCTTAAACGAAATATGATGAACACAGATCAAATATACGATTTCTGATAGTCGCGAAAACCTACTCAAAACGAAACCCAAAAGGAGGTCTCCTCTAGGCCGGAGTGGACTGCAGTTTCGTTCCCACCTTGACTCGTCTCATCTGCACGTACAACGGGAATCGGACTCGGAAGGCGCAGCGTATAATCTCATCATGTCGACTTGTGTCGGGAGGAGGCTTTTGTCGAATAGCTTTTTGGAGCAAGACTATATGAAAAAGGGGTTCGACCTCAAAATGTCAAGGCGACCTAGTTTGACGTGGGCTGTAGGAAGTCCTATAATATGTTGACTGTGAAAGTTCCCCAGGGCCAACGATAATTAATTCCTTGATGAGTTGTTGCTTTGTGTAAAAAAATGGCAAGACTCACAAACGATGTCGATGAAACGTTTGTGAATGCTAAAGTCCAGGGCCCGATGCTGGAAGGCGTCAGAAGTCTTCGAACATTGCATGTTCAATTAGGTCGCCTTGGCAACACGATCAGGTAGCGAAAACTACATCAAACCACTCTTTCGCATAGCCATGCTCCAGAAAGTTATTCCTTCCAGTCTAATTAGATATGGTGACAGTATACACTGAACCGTGCCGGTTTGATTCACGTTAGGGGTGCAACCAAGACCAGTTCAGGTTGCAACGAAACTGTAGTCCACTCCAGCTTGGATGGGATCAGCACTTTGAAAGCAAGTCCGAGGTAAATTGAAATGACCTCGTGCGTCCTAGTCACTTTATGCGATCCAGAATGACCGGAACTGTTGGGCAGGGGTTGTTGATGGTCTCGAGTACGGTCAGCTGGCTGAAGATGATTTGAGGACTGGTAGTGCTGAATTGGTCCGTTGAATGTCACTCGGCCTTGCCGACCTGGACGACAAGGCCGCTGGTCAGTGTGGACAAAACTCCCCTCCCAGTCGCCAAATCACCTTAAGCTGCATGGGCTTGCCAAGTTGTGGCTAAAAATGCTTTGGAATGCTTCATGTGAAGTGGGTATTGAGAGCACCAGTAAGGCCTGAGCAAGAGTCCTAGTTGGGCCAGGTCGCATGAGGTGATAATGGAATGCGATGTGTTGACCTCCCCTTTCCACATGAGTTCATATGAGCTGACACTTGGTGTGATTGTGGGCAAATTCAACTACCTTGCCTCCATCACCGAATGCGAACCGGGCTGACTGGAATCCTTGTGTTGCCAGTTTCTCGCGACGACCGGGAATCGGTCCAACCTCGGCTGATTCGGAAGATATCCTCGACAGCTGTCCTGTTCGCAATCATCCAAAATGCTGCCCTGCCTATCGGGCCGAGGTTGTGAGGCTGTTGACAAGTGGTTGCCAAGTCGCTCCAACTGTCTGAGCACCATCTGAAACTCTTTACTGCAGGGCACAATCAGATTCTCCGAGAGTGGACGGAAGTCGCGCCTGCCAACCAACTCTTGCCGACCGAGGTCGGTCGTGTCCGTCTTGTTCGCGTCATGTGAGCCGACTGGTCTTGCCGGATGGATGCTCGACGCATTAGCCTCGTCGGCCTGCCCACTCGCCAAGACGAGCTTGTTGCCGTCGCCGTCGCCGTCG